GGTACAATTTAAATTGAAGAAAGACAAATCCGGAGAGACACCGAATTTTTAAAAGGTACTGGTGGTATCAAACTATAGCTCTGAAATCAAACACAGATACACTGCATCAATTTAAATATAACAAGGTAATATTTTAAACAAAAGATTTGAGCTAAACCATCAGAATACGTCGTTAACAATATCAGGTAGTATGACAGTCAATAAGGCTTATTGGTACGTCGCCAGTTAAGTATTCGCGGGTCTAGGATACAGTTTTCAGTAAGCGAGTTTATTGGATTTTATACTTCATGCAACTAGTTAACCTAGCTGATGATAAAGCTAGTCCAACTAAAATCTCTGCAACACAGTAGTGGCTTTAATTCAGGTCAACAACGCTATATTTGCTTCTAACCTAAATACCATGTCCCGAACTACACTCACAGAATATGCTTGAATGAAATAAATATTTAAGTACAAAATAATTTGGGTGACATGGATGGGAAACAAGGGCAAGATACTAATACCTTTAAGGTACTTATGCCGTGTGGTTTAGCTCGGTGGAGTATCTATTTAGAACATCTTCGAGAATAAGAATAGACACGTCCGATCCGTAGTGTAGAGCGGCTCAGAATATATACATATGTCTTTGTTTCATACCGATACCGTAGCCTGTTACTGAATGTCCAATAAACTGAATAGTGATCAACGACATCAATCTTCACATTTAACCAACGATAATTTAAGACATGTACACAAGGTGATAAAAACGTTAACAAGCTACTATTCAAGCATAGCTCGAGGTCTGGCCCATGAACTCCTCCTGTAAACAATTAAGGAAGTCCTGTTCGATTGGAATTCCGTCTTTTAACTGCATTGAAAAATCTACGTATTGTAGTTGTAGGCAACTCAGTGAATGGGTGAGTTTGTTTGACCGTCCTAGCTGTACGATAGCTGTTAGAGTGCAAATGTATCTCAAGAATGGTGCGTTCGAATGAATTAATTCATGATCTCACCCTCAGATATATACTAATGGTGTTGTACTAGTGTTCAACCACTTGGGTTGGCCAAAGTAAAAACTCATATGATCAATATGAGAAACCTAATGCAGAACACTTTAGTACTCTGATGTATTTCTAGAACTAAGTATATCCATTTCTCTGTTACTCCCAGGGAATAATATAAAAATAAGTATAATCATAGCCTCCTGTTCAATTAGGAGGCTATGGTATAATCTGAGAAGAATTCTCAAATTTCTATTACGTGCTCTCGGGCTGACTCACCTATACATAAAAAATTGGTGAGTTGTTAACGTATTTACAAATACATCTACTCCTGTGGTCTCTCAAATCTAGTAACCATGGTAGTAGTCTCTCATTTGCCATTTTTGACCTGTTTATTGCTATGGTGATCTGTCCATAGAACTCGCGTACTTGTATAAAATGATACAAGCTTCAGTATATGTCCATAGAATAGTACGAGCTTCGTTCTCACTTATTTGCAAATGGTATCTCATGGGCTATAAACTTATTGCTATATGGTACGTTCACGAAGCGAATCGCTATGAGATTGCAATTGTGTATGTACGCATCCTCTACTCACTCGACATGCATACGCTTTTAAACGAAATGGTTGAGCGTAGGTAAAGCAATTTGGATAACCTAACTTTGTAGTTACTACGCTGAGTTTGAGTTATTTCACTGCTGTACGCTTTTGTGATGTTCACGCTATTTTGACAGCTTTTGTCGTTTGGTGAAATCCACGTTTACTACCAGTGACTGTATAGAGCGGTGCAGAAGCTCGAGTGTAGCAAGGTATATATTTGCGAACGCAATTCCACAAACCAAGGAGTTGTCGTAATTGTATAGCAGGTATCCACTGATTCAGGCCAATCCATAATTTATTTGTACCGTTCATTTATTGTCAACCGACACGCCTTTTTCAGAGGCCATGTAGCCTAGGACTTATGTCGTATCAGTACCGATAGCTGCTATAGTCTCTTTAAGTAGGGCATTCTTGCTTAAAATGTCTCAAAATATGTCTGTATCTGCTATCATCTCATCGAAATCAATGCTGCCGCGTCTAGAAAATACATCTTGGTACATGTTGTAGACAAACATTTTGATATTAGTCTGGATTCCGATTTGAAGAGCTGCTGTGAACTTGTCAGACATGACTATCGATGGCCTCAAGCTGTTAAAACTTATGATAAAGATAACATTATTTATTTCAATTTGGGTAAATTATTGTCTACATAGGATGAAGAGGTCCTATATTTACACAAACACAATAACAATAGCCGAGTCTACTTGAGAAACATGTATTTAGGGCTCCCACTCGTTTACAATATGTCGACTTCTAATAGCATCGAGTACGAAACGGCGATCATTGACCACAAACCACATAGAATATCAAAATGCCGGTGGTGAGTATATGATATTCGTTGTGCCGTGTAACGCAACAGAACGTAATAGGGATGATATCTAGTCAAGTAAGCAGCATAACTGTTCTTTTTCTCGTCCGTTCTTTATTCCACCTTATACTTATACGAATTTTCCATACAGATATATAACTCAACCCCTTAATCTATGTATACGTATATTCAGGCTGCCGATTGACGCCGAACTATAGGTGAAGATTATGGAAGTCAGTAACAGGAAGATAGGAGCACAGATTAGCATTAGAGGATAAGATTGTGGAGGATAAGCATGAGGAAACGCCTGTCGCCGAGAAAGCCGCTGGAGGAGGGAAGAGGGGATCAGAGTTCAAAGTGAGAGATGATGTCACAGGAGAAGGAGAAGCTCATCCAAAGGAAGAAGATGGATGAAAAAAGGCACATGGATAAGGAGTAATAAGAATTAGCCAACAGGGAGTGAAAAATCGCGGACAATACTAAGAAGGCTTTGGCGTTGCCTGCCGTTGATAGGGGGTCTGATACTAAAGAAAAACAGAGTGATGATGTTGGAGGCCCGACTAAGAAAGAATTGGTACATGTCAAAATCCAAAGTATCAACGTAAGGAAAAGGCTCAACAGTTGACTGCCGGTGATAATGGGTCTGATGATGTACTTCGGCTGTTGTTGTGTAGGATCATGAAATGGGGGGTTTTTTTTGCACATCCGTCAATTGCTCTCATAATGCTAAATTGAGGTTCTTACTGTTCCCAGATTAAAAATATGTTTTCACACGAGTATTGAATTACAATTGCATGCCGCAACATATAATCTAAATAGCCTTGAAATCGAGCTCCTGCTGTAGAATTCGGACATTCGTTTTTTGACCTTTCCATATTAAATTCATATGGCCCATTTTATGTATCGAACTCAAATTTGTTCACAGCAGAAATAATAAACTGTTGTTTCACACGCGGCTTGAGGCACAATTTTTTCGTTGTACCGTCAATGCATGATGTACAGTTGTCAACAAGTCAATATTTTCACATATTGATAGTTTTACTCCAAAGTAATGTCATATTGTTCGTTGACTTCACATACGGGCTAAAAGTTTACAATCTATCATTTGACAGTTTCCAATAGATCAATCCAGATATTTATAGATGTGTAAAGTAATTTAATGGTCATCTGAAAGCCAACTTAACTATTCTCTAAGATACAAACAAATAGAGATATGAATGTATCGTTAGTCTTGTAGTTTGTTCTATACCTGATTTTGAGCCACAGGATAAACGGCTTCGAATTGGTGACCTCAATAGAATTCGTCATACGCGTTGTTCTCCGCGTAAAACTCTACGGCTATGGTCCACAAAGGGAATACATGTTTTGTCGGTAAAGAAAAGTATTCTAGTTCACTCTGTCAGATCTCAGGCAGCATTCAGCGGCTTTGTACAAAAACCGTCAATACACTTAAAGATATAATCGAATATAGATTATAAGTTTTTTTAATGAGTGTGAAATAAATATGCGCATCGGCACACCAAAATTTATTGACAATTCGCACTGAATTTATCAAAATTAAGAACGTGCATACCACTTATAAATATAGTAATTTTCTATTGGCAAATCGTGTTGAAGTGAACCCGACACAAGCAAACTTCACAAAATAAAATATGTTCCACAGGCCTTATCATGATATAACAAGTGCGATATTAAATCCAAGTGATATTGATATTATTGTGCATGCTTTTAGGGTGTAATAAAATAGAGCCCGGGTTGAGGTATGTCTATCATTCCAGCATATAAGCGATCGACAGTTTTAACTTTCACTATCTACTTGTAGGCATCATCATGCTCCAATTGTATTCAAAAACGTTCTTCAAATCTACTACAAGTACTACGTAGTACGTCAACCGTACCAATTTATAGTTCCCCGTCGTTACCAGATGGCATGCGCTATCAACTTGATACCGGGTGAAGGAACATTAGTATGAAGGGGTTTCCCCCTAAATTTATCGGTTTTTGTTTTCCTTCTAGAAATGCTTCTATTTTTTCAAACAGCTTGAAGGTTAAAGAATGTATATATAGGCCTGTTGGAAATGGTTCAAGTTTTAAGGGTTTAAATTAGGACAGGGGAAATACGAGCTAAAGCCTCGCTCTTTGCCAATAGAAAAACCCTTTATTTTTTAGTATTCGCGGTCTCGTCTCTACAGATAAACCGACTTATAGTTGTTACACTCTTAGTGACACCACGGCACGTCACAGATTTCTGCAAATGACTCATAACAACGTATTCGTATAGTTCTGAAGAATATCTCTGGTCCACGTCAAGAGAATTCAAGGTGGCTTTGAAGGATGGGGGTCGAAAGCAGTACATAATTAGTTCACGGGATGCTTCCTGAAGATAAACATCCGGTATATCTGCTCCGAGAGGGTCTAGTTCCACATATCGGCCAATTCATTCAAGCACGAAATAAATCTATACCACTGCCAGCCAAATGCCACGGACAGACATGCACAATATCACAAACACAACCAAGTTTACCAATAGTGAATTGACTATCCAACAATTGGGTGCACCTATTGGTACTTTCTACTACATACATCCGAAAATACACTCACTTTGTTCTGCACGTTAGTAATTTCTGGCGATGCGGTTCACTTCCACCCATTGATATTATAAAAATATATAGATTTATTGACGCGCATGCAAATGTTAAAACATAAGACCACACCCGCGATTAGAGTATTTGAGGCTATTTCTACACATATATAATTTTATTGTCCGATGTCCAGAATACATGACGTTTACTTTCTAGAGCAGTTCTTTATTTAGAGTGGGATGTTTCCGTGCTTCTTCCAGGGGCTGGATTGCTTCTTATTGGCCAGTACATTTAAGTCTGCACACAGGCGCATGCGTGTGGTGGCAGGGTCGATGACATCATCGATGAAGCCCTTAGACGCAGCCGTGAACGGGTTGCTGAATTTAGCCTCGTAGTGCTTCTGTGCTTCCACAAGATCCTCACCTCTGTTGGTCGACAACAAATTGGTGACAATGAGCCATAGCAAACAACTAAAACTCTTAATTCAAAAGAGATTCATAGTGTATGAGAGAAACATACAACACATACGGGGAGTTTGATAGAATATTGGAGACACGAGGTGGATTTGTCAAAAGCCAACTAGGTATCACAAAAAAATCACAACACACCGGCTTATCTTATACACATTCTGGCACGGTGGCAGATTTATAGAGGATGTACAAACTGTTCACACTGACCCAACATGCACATTCCGTGTATTTACAACAAGCTCGGTAATCGTGCAGTGCAGACCATTCCCTGATGAAGCATCTGTCAATTGACATGACATGCAGTGCAAAAAAACATAGATTTGCTTCTACTACACCTACCTGTTGACAATAGCCACGGCTCCCTTAGCTCCCATGACTGCAATCTCGGCATTGGGCCAAGCGTAGTTGATGTCTCCACGCAAGTGCTTAGAGCTATAGTTGAATTCGATTTAGAATGTGAGACAAGAGGCCACACGCAGTTGGTATTTTCGTCACACGTATTGAATACAAGGCAAAGTTAAAGAGGATGCTGCGCTCTCGGCCACATAACTATGCGAGAAACACACAGACTGGAACTAACCGTCACCATCCGATAGATATGACAATATAGCCCTAAAACGCTACATTGCCTGAAAAGTGACCATACGGACGTCGACTTTGTATACAACAAAACAAAAACATTCACGTAAGCCAGACACAAACACCCAACCACACACAGACATACCTCATGACATCGTAAGCGCCTCCATAAGCCTTGCGCGTGATGACCGTGAGCTTGGGGACAGTAGCTTCAGCGTATGCGTACAACAGCTTGGCACCATGACGGATGATACCACCGTACTCTTGCTTTGTACCGGGCAAGAAGCCGGGCACGTCGACAAAGGTCACCAAAGGGATGTTGAACGAGTCACAGAAGCGTACGAAACGGGCGGCTGATATGTGTGGGACGAATGGAGAAGAGTTTATGGAGGGTATGTGCATGGCATATAGATGGCCTATATGATATATATATATATATGTACGAAGGCTTACACAGTCAGGAAGGTCTAGTGCGCAGATAGATATACATATGCAAAACTATATCGTAGTATGATAAGACTTTAAGCACGCAACTTACCCTTAACACTGGCATCAATGTCCAAACATCCAGAGGCGGATACGGGGTTGTTACCAACCACACCAACCGTACGACCCTCCAAGCGGGAGAAACCAACCACAATATTCTTTGCGAAGTCTTCCTGGATCTCAAAGAACTTACCATCGTCCATGACCTGAGAGTGAGTGTGAAAACGAGTTTGTTTGCATGAATACAGGGCAGTCGAATTAACTGCAGAGTTATTGATGTAAAATCAGGGCTGGAGGTGTTTGGTCTGACCGGCGTGCTCATCAGATGGCATCAGCTTACGCACACACCTTCTTAACCACAGACTTCATATCGTAAGCGAGCTGCGGGTTCTGTGGTACAATAGTCTTCAACGCAGGCACCATTCTGTTGGGGCTATCATCAGTGCGCATGACGGGAGCCTTGTCCTTGTTGCTTAGAGGTAGGTAGCTCACCATTTCGCGAATCTAGAAACAGTAACCAACCGATAAAGATCAGAATGCATTTTTTGAATCAAGACTGCACATGTGACAGTTGAGCATACCCGCCGTACGTCGGAACCCATCAATAACGTCGATTCGTCACAAAGCAATCTGAGCGCCATACATCAGCGATATCGTGACTAACTATATTCTCTAACGTACATCCTGGGCCGGTTTGGTTGTAGAATGAGTCTTCTTGCTGTTAAATAAAGAACTTATTCCCAGGTAATCTTTCCAGTACAGATATCCAAATAGCATCTACCCGCACGGTAAAGTGCACACACACGCGAGTAAACGCGAACGACGCCTGCCCTGCCTACCTTTAGAAGCGCGTCAATATCGTTCCTGAAGGCGTTGTGCACAACTCCTGACTTGCGCGTGTGCACCTTGGCACCTCCCAATTCCTGTTGTGTGATATCTTCGTTGGTAACCTGCGGAGAGACGGGTAATAATGCTGGTTAGTTCTCGATCACAAGGAATTCCCGAATAGCCATACTGTCAGTGGTAGGCTTGGCCGGTGGTGCGCTTGTGATCTTCCGCATTCAGACTGACCGGACTGATGTGCCCAGTACCATGAGGGATATGTAGACAACTCAAACCACAGAGCAGTCCCGGAGACACTTCCTTTGGACGATAAATGCGAGCATGACTCGGACCCTATTTGAACCACCACAGACACCCAAAACGCAGGACATATAATAGCACCCTTTCACAAAGAAGATACACCAGAGACGGGTTCTATATGTGTTGACGGTTGCAATTATTGAACTAAGAAGTATGAAGACAGATCCAACTATTGCCATCTGATGCAAATCATGCATACCTACTTGGCCATATCAGACACATACGAAAAGTCCTCACCACAAAACGAAGAATCCTGGTCTAGCAGACAAGCACACAACACCCCCAGAGCACAGACTAATATTGACACTGTACATCTCTGACCCTGTTTTAGCAACTCATTCTTAGGCAAACGACACACACACACCTGCTTGACCACATCAGGGCCGGTGACAAACATATACGAAGTGTTCTCGACCATGAACGTGAAGTCTGTGATAGCGGGCGAATACACAGCACCCCCCGCACAGGGTCCCATGATGGCGCTGATCTGCGGCACCACACCACTGGCCAAGGTATTGCGCAGGAAGATGTCTGCGTAACCCGCGAGCGAGTCTACACCTTCTTGAATACGCGCACCTCCGGAATCGTTGAGACCTGTCAAGTGTCGTGGGGGAGTGTAAGGTGGTTGGCGGAGGACAGTCCTGTGCATATGCACCTGAATGTGTGAGCGGCGGAGATGTGCTCGGTCTATTATCAGCCTGCACTGCTTTGATTCGCACATATGGTGGATTGATACGTACCGTAAACAGATACAATCTGATGCGCAAGTTTCTGACATATATGAATTGGATTTTTACTTTACAGCCGTGTCTATATTGTTTAACGGCGAGCAGTAACGTCCATTCATTTCACAACAACAAATCATTACTTTGTCTGGTCTTCTCGACATTATCTCAGGCACAGACGTAGCGGACTTTACCTCCTCTACTGTAGTTCAGACTAATGCGCTTGATTGAGTGTGTGAGCCAAAACCAAATACATCTATACCCGTTGGACGTTGCTTCACTGTGCATCAGCATACCTCATCCAGTACTCAATCAGTAAATGCACCCTACCGATTACACAAGTCCACCACACACCACTACCACACGATACAGCCAAATATGCATAGATCAGGCATACTCACAAACGACCCACACAGAACGCCTACACCTACCAATAACAGGCGCGCCGATCTCGATAGCCAAATCCATAACCTTGCAGATCTTCTTGGCGTGTGCCGCGGAGAGCGAACCACCGAACACTGTGAAGTCCTGTGAGAACACATACACCAGACGTCCGTTGATCATGCCTCGGCCCGTCACAACTCCATCACCCACAGGCTGCATTTAGTGGTTATATAGGGTATGAGATTCGGGTTTAAATTGAACGTATTTTTGTGCGTGGTATTCTGGATATCTGTTCGGGGGTCCGGCTGGGATATAGATGAATCAGATGCATATCTCATGGAGAAGGCAAAAGAAATGGTAGAGTCAGCTTGCACTGAGCTCTACAAATGAGTATGCATTGCCATACTGTCTTGGACGAATAATAAATATATAATCAATAGTCTCTTGCGTGGCAATTAACTATCGACCAGTCGGCACTCGCACTATCAAGTGAGAAACAATGTCACACGTTGTGTCGTAGCGTGGAGTGATGTGCTCGCTGCCACTTAGCACGTATACGGTTCGCATAAACACACTTTGATGTACTGCCCATGTACAGATGTAAGACATACGTACTCTGATGTACTACCCATGTACAGATGTAAGACATCCACACTTTGATGTACTACCCATGTACAGATGTAAGACATCCACACTTTGATGTACTACCCATGTACAGATGTAAGACATCCACACTTTGATGTACTACCCATGTACAGATGTAAGACATCCACACTTTGATGTACTACCCATGTACAAATGAAAGACATCCACACTTTGATGTACTACCCATGTACAGATGTAAGACATCCACACTTTGATGTACTACCCATGTACAGATGTAAGACAGCCACACTTTGATGTACTACCCGTGTACAGATGTAAGACATCCACACTTTGATGTACTACCCATGTACAGATGTAAGACATCCACACTTTGATGTACTACCCGTGTACAGATGTAAGACATCCACACTTTGATGTACTACCCTTGTACAGATGTACGACATACATACTTTGATGTACTACTCATGTACAGATGTAAGACATACATACTTTGATGTACTACCCATGTACAGATGTAAGACATCTACACTTTGATGTACAAAAAAGTACACAGCCCTAGTCCGGAGTAGGCAAACAAGAGACACGGACTCACAAGCAGGCCACGTACCTAGGTACATAAATCACCATCGGGTGTCCAAAGCGGTGATGGAAACATACAGAAAACACATACATACAACACAAGCCTAGACATTGCGCCACACACCTTCTGCTTCTCCATGCCAAAGTCCGTGCACGTGTGTTCCATGAGCATGTCAGTCTCCTGGAAACTGCCAGTGTCCAACAACACATCCAATCGTTCGCGAGCGGTGAGCTTGCCCTGTTATAGATACCATCGGGTGTACGCAGTTGGGACACAAGTATAAGTATGAGCATATCGGCTACAAAAGTGTAAAGCTGAGGCGTCAGGACGAACATATATAGTATGTCTTCCACCAGATAATTAACGTAACAGTACTCACAACGTATCCACAACGACCGCCCCACAAGGCACGCACACGCTTAGTTGCGTGTGCCTATACACTCTTGCTATCTGTAGCGTCTACTACGTAAGTCTCATAACAGTTGCTGCGTATAACTATAACTGTACGTACCACAACGAGTAGCGCTTCACCCTGTCTGGATGTGACCCCAAAGACCTTTCACGCATACGGCCGATCAGACGAGACCAATCGCTCTGCCTTGTTGTGCCGTGTGCGTGTACCACCAGATACATGTGCAGTGTACCATTTAACTATGGCGTTTCCGTGCTGTACTATGTAGGTATATTATTTACTGTAGGGTTCTTCGTCACACTTATATATCTATACAACAGTCTACATTACATACGTTGACGGATACGAGTTCCATAATTTTCTACATACATGAAGTACAACCACCCTGGTCGGGTATTAGGTAAAAAATACCCGTTACCCTGATCACCTCTCGCATGCAACACCTACCTACACGTCACAGTAGACGCATGCAAACACCCCAGCCTTATCACACACAACAGATACATCTACACACACACACACACCACTCAGACTCACCTTGCTATGCTGCGTGTCTATGCGCTTTTGTCCACCGCCTAATAACGCCTCCTTGCGCTTCTGTGCGAGCTGTTTTCTGACTCGGATAGCAGGCGTGTCTGTCTCCACATGGTCAGTGGCAGCCGCACTTGAGTACCGAACTTTGTTGGCCGCGAGACGGGACGCGGGCAGTGCCTGGGCCTATGGGATAGCGAAATTGTATACGTTCATTTCGTTGTGAGTATGACTGCATGTACGCGGGTGTTTGAATTCAGGTCGCTTGAGGTGTCCAGGTATAAAGTGACAGGCTACGGTACAAGCATGGATGTACAAGTGGGGGTGGGTGAAGGGTAGACCTGCATTGTACATTGAAAACAGTTCACTCTCGTGTATTTGACACGTACACAGTATAGGTGGCAATGGGTACGAGCGTATAAATGACAAACACAAGAGAGTATCACACCAAACAGAATTCAAGGCGGAGGAGAAAGAGGGAGTATAAGGGTCCTCAGTGAGCTTAAATGATCCACGTAATAGTACATATCAATATGCACGAGTACACGGTATTGTTTATACTCAAGTGATCATATGAGGAAGCGATTACAACTTTGTGCACGGCAACGAACGGGATTTTCATGCAACTACGCGTGCATACCTGTGCCCATATATATATATATATATATAATATGAAATGCGCAGACAAGAAGATACCCATTACTTAAAATAAAATTGTAATATATTCAGATCGTCATAATTAATATCTTACATTTTCACAAATAAAATGGATACATGCATTGTCGGAGATATTATATAAGCAAGCATAACATACAAGTATCTACATATTTACACAAACGCATTTGTATACCTACATATACAATGTGTTTAAATATATACGTATGTACTTGCATCTACATATGTACGTGAAGTGTGATTCAAGCACAATTTGGCATGATGTGTGTATACAGCCGCAGAGTTTGATATCTATTTTTCAGGTGATAAACACAGCAATTGAATTTTTGTGGTGCGTACCAGGACTGCTTTGGTGAAGTATACACATACACTAATAAAATCGGTCTGAATAATATTTATGTTTGCTTGTAGTTATGTATTTGCTTGTAAAGGCAAACAAGGTGCATTTGCAACTGTATACACAAAATCCATCTCCCCACCCAACCAAACCCATAAAATATATATATAGTGCGAATATGTAAGCATAACACGCTTCATACTGAAACAACCCCCTCAACATTAATAAATACGGTATATACTAAACCTGCAACTTCAATAGGTTGAGCCTGCGTACGAGTTGACCAGTATGCCAATGCGTGAGTGATAGACGGAAATATTCAGCATGAAAATATCTGCGATAGACTCTTGCACACTGTCAAAGCAACTAGCATATAAGTTATCCATAATGTGACTATACATTAACAAGAAGTAATATTTGACTATACATTACCTTGAAGGCTAACCTTAGAGCTGGAGCTCTGATTGCGTATCTAAGCATACCGAAGCCGTTGTATGTTGCTCAGATGTTATATAACAAATATTTATTTATGTGCTCAATCCGATACAACCTAGCGAAGCACTACCTCTTATCCAATGGCCAGCGTATGTATGTATACAATACGAATAGTATGCACAGTCTCTTGTACGAAAGTACACGCAGCTATATTTTTATTTATTTACTTTTGGCTGATGTGTCGGAGCTACTAGTAGCTAGTAGTATGTAGTCGTAACTTTCTACTAGTAGTAGTAGAGAGTACCGAGTACTGCGAGAGTGAGACTGTGAGAGTTTGAGGCTTGGAGAGTACGGGACCTGATGAAGCCTTATGTGGCCCTAGTGTGTCCTCTTTCTGTGATTTGGGTGCATCCGTTTGAGTTTTTAGAAATCTGATATGCTGTTTCAGCTCCAACTCCAGCAGCGTCTGTCCTCACGTTTTGTATCCAATGGCCTGGGTCTATCTAAGATACTGAAATTATTGTATCCAACAGCCAATAAGAATATTTATCATATGAAAAAACTGAATGTTTTTCAAAACTCTAAAAGTTCCTGCCCTCGGCACAAAACACTAAAAGTTTCCGGCAACGGGAAGCGATAAAAGTTTGATAATTTTACTCTCCCAAGAATCAGCCCAAAAGTGTCGCGTCACGGAAGAATTCCATGATGAAATCAAATCGCACAAGCATACAAATACAACAAACAAAAGTATGTATTGGGAACAGAGGTCAGAGAGCACAATTCACAACCAGTACTTTTAAAAAAAACAAAAACAAAAATCACGCCTAAATTACATAAGACATACTCAACAAATATTTTTGGTCCATCAGATGTCAATTCATCAGATGTCAATGTACAACTCTCCGATATTGAATCAGAAAGCGATCAAGATCAACCAATACTGCTGACCAATATGGCTGCTAGAACAACGACGAATAATATCGTGAGTGAATCCAATACTTCCCATCAGTGCTCCGAAAGTACTTCACTATCGATAGATAATATATATTTCGTCACAGCTGTTGACACTCAAGTGATCGCAAATCAGTGCGTCACGATCGTTGATTCAGCATCTGCTAGCACACCCATCATTCAGACCTCTATAGCATGATTAGAAGAGAACTTGCCCACTGATATAGCTATTCACCCATCACAACAAAATATACGGGCAGCAAACCCTGTCGCCACCACGCACTCAGAAAAACCGAATATTGTGGAAGTTTACATCGAAAGTATATACGAGAGAATAAGTGCAGCATTCAAGAAAAGTGATGTAGCTGGTATGCAAGCGATAGCCGAGAGTATGTGGATCCGTGCATCAAGCTCTTCTATTTAATTAGCTAGAGCAAGGGCTACAAATTTAGTTCCGGATCCGTACTATTATCCAGACGTATTTGAATGGATACCTGACCAATATTTTGGCCTTCTACTCACCTGTCCATCCTGCGAGTCAACTAATACTGTCAGTCGAGGCTGGCCAAACAATCCCCGCGCACGTCGCGTAGTGAGCCGGGATACCTGTTATCACATTCTACATCGTAGATTTAAAGGTAAAGATTGTAATATAGGATTCTCAAGTTGTGATTCAAGAGTAATAGCATTGCTTCCCGGGCATGCACAGTTGGATTTTCCAGCTTACATCACACATAAAGACACCATAGATATATCTGTGGTTCAAGAAATGCGGAATCGGTTTCTTGAATCTGGAACCATGAACGATATAGCTGAAAGTCTGAAAGAGACTTATATGCGAAGATATAATCACAAGATGCTCGCCCGGTTTTCCATGTTAACTCTGAAAAAAAGCACTTCGTATGCAAGCCGAGAATGCAAAACTTTGATCGCAATTCTACGATCGCGATGGCTATAGAGGACATTTTGTGTCTGGAAAGTACCCGGGTGCAGTAATTCATGCTATAAATCAAGCTGCCAGATCATATCAGGATCTCTGGATACAGCAGCTTACAACTTGCATCGTCAAATGGGATCACAGTTTTAAAATTACGATGCACATTTATGACAAATTTATGCGATGTTATTGGGGCGCACTCTTTACTGCGGTGAATGAATACGGACAGATTGTTGTGCAGAATATTACAACTACGAAGTTCACTCTCGAAGTAGAAAGAGGGCTGAGAGAGTTCCACGAGTTGTGTCAAAATGGGAATCAACACACAATATTGCTGATGAGGCGTTGGCAGAACGAATCGCGCCCGAGTTATGCAATGCAGCGGCACCCCCAGTAATTGTACCAGATGTTGCTTCTGAGCTGCCCCTCTGCGTACTACCTGATGATTATAGACGAATTCTGATCACCAATACGAATGAATTGGCTCATGGTTTGGAAATTCTTATAAGTGCTAATATAAACACTGAAACCAAATATTAAAATGTGTACGCCTTTGATTTAGAATGCGACCAACAAGACTTTGACGATGAACTGAGTGATGTATTGAATTTTATGCAAATTGGGACCGACAAAGTATGTTTGCTCACACGAATACGCCTCTTTGAGGTAAAAGATGTACTGCCAAGCAACCTATGTACATTCTTGCAGCAACAGGGACCAACTTGGGTAGGATTGCTTGTTACGCCTGTAGATATACGCCTCGTACAGCAACAATACAACATCACTATGGCTGGAGAAGTAAACCTAGCACCTTTTCTAAAAGAACGTAAGTTGATCAGCAAAGGAAGATGTAGCCTTCAAGAGTTGACCAAAATAGTTCTTGGTCTACAGTAGCATTAGGTCTGGCAAATGAACTGCGTCAGAACTCAGTAATGCTCAACTCCTTTATGCGGCGCTATATATTTATAAACCTTACCAACTCTATCGTGCGGGTTGCAAGACACCCGTACGAGCCTTAACGGTAGCAGATAAAGAAGGATGTGTTTTTGTATATACCGCCTCCTGCACAAATATGTGTGCAGAGGGTTTTATATATAACAGCAATGTGACAGAAACTACTGGCTGGAATAGAATATCTGCAGATGGTAAGAAAACTGCATGGCGCTTAGGCAGTGGGCAGACACAAAAACACAGAAGAATTATTTGAATTACCAAAATATACTTACCACAAGCTGCTCTGCAGCTTGGTGACATTACGCAGGGATAAGGCGTAACAGCTATGAGTCATGCGGCATGCACATTTGCAATACTCATTTTAAACCTAGGTGGTACGGCAGCCGATGAATAAAATCATCTAGGATGTGTGTATGCATATGCATTAGATGGTGGCTGCTTAGGCATTTCAAATGCACGCTGAGAGTCGTTTCTTTGTAAGTAAGGATTATGTGGGTCATGTGGCACAATATTCGTCAATCTCTGACGAGTATCATGTAATCGACTGTGATCCTCATACAGATGTATATGGACATTCTGGAGGGATTGCTCGTTAATGCTGCGTTGTGTGTCCATGTCTGGATGTGTAATGATTATGTGAAACCTGCGATGCATTGATAATCTGATAATTGGAATCGCGTGCATTAGGCGGAGGTATGTGCGCGTTTGGATCGGGATATAAATATCTATTGTGTTCCACCGGATCAGGTGCTGGTACACAATCCTGTGGATGAGTGATGTTGGTATACATGTGTACTCGCCTATTCTCAGATGAATACATATATTGTTGCACAACAGACCTAATATTTCTTGTGTGCGTTGCCTCAGCGCGTGTACTAGATGTCGAGGTTGTTGATGTTGTGTGCTGTCGTGTATTGGTAGAACTCTCCGTCGCCCGTTGACTGCCTAAGTTAACTTCAGTCGGCCGGAGGCGGCGGCCGCCTCGTCTTCTTGACGCGCTTGGGGCTCTTCAATCACCAGCGCATTCGCCATTGGTGTATCCCCTGAGAAAGCTAATGGGGTCAGAAAAGGGTAATTCTGTTCGCCGACTGTTGGTAAATCCGCTTGTTCTGGCTGAGCATCCATATACTTCTGAGCTTTCTGTTGAGCCGGATTTACTGATGCAATAACATTCTGAGCAGTTTTTTCACTCCCCAAAGCAGTATGCAGGTGCTCTATATCACGAATTTTGCTTGCGCCTGGAATAGCTGTGCCCATTTCCGGCAGCCGTATTGAAGTGTATAGGCAACTTTAAAATTATATTATACTCATCTACATAATCGATCCATTGCTTACACATCTCGTGAGATTGCGCTGCTTTGCTAATGTCCTGCGATCTTATCTCGCGTGCTAGTTTCTCATGCATCAACGGTCGGCATAAACAAGGCAACCCCTGACTTTCAGCTGTATAATTGTGATCATGAATTGGTGTGTGTGGGTTTTCTTTATTTTGTTTGCGACTTTCTCAAGATTCTGCTCATCAAATAAGTGACGCATATATGCAACACCGCTATGCACATGATCCTTGTCAGGCACAATATAGTCGTGTGGCCTGGGGTATAGTTGTCCAGGGTTTAAGGGTTTACTCTAAAAGGCTCACCGGTTTGCTCTGTGAATAGCATAGCACACTTGTCGACGGTTTCTAAATCAGAATAACCAACGTCTGGGACTTCATTCCGTTCAATATCGAGCGTATAGGTTTTTTTCATACGAAAGTACGAAAGTACATCATCGGCTAAAGCTGTACTTGTGATACGATATCCAAACTTTCTAGAGACTGGTTGATGTACGATCGATTCTATACAATCCGTACCGCGAGCGCATTTCCATAAATACAATCCATCTGTGTCTGTTGCGTAACAGTAATATAAATCAACTCCAAGAGGATCTGATACGTACCCGTTTAGTATTGTATCTAGTATAGTTTTAAATTCTTTGTAGGCCGCAACGTTGGACAGAGGTTGTTTACTTCAACTATCTAACTCGTCCTTAAATTCATTGTAGACTTCTAGCACCCGATCGTGCAGTAATTATGGGGCCGGAATGTGTCGACGTTCACGCTTGCGTATGTAGCGGTTGCCTATGACAGTCTGCAATCGCTCTTTATATGTGATATCTTGCTTTTGAAGCACTGCAATGACCGCATCACGATCAGTTGCGTTGTCAACGAAGATCAAATCACGAAACAGCTGCCAAAATTTCCAGTGCCACCCGTGTTTCTTTTAGATTGGGACCAAAGCCATAAGATAAGGCACATCTATAAGCACATGCCTCCATACTTTCACTACCTCCGGTTTATTACTTGGCTGAAAGTCGGGGAAAAGTGTCTCGAAAGTCTCGTAGAAGCTATTGTCTGACCTGAGATCAGCTTCATGCCCATCTTCCTGATCATCTTCATGTTCAATGCCATTTTCACTCTCTAAAGAAATGCATTCTGAAGAGTCTGTATTGAGATAGTCGCAATCGCGAAGGGAAACACCCTCGTTCTTTATCATGTCCAAGCATAGTTCTGTACTTCGAAATATTACAACCATAGGGATAATATTATTTATTTCAAAAATGGCAAGTATGTTTGATACAATGTATGAACATATGGTATAGCACTCATAGTCGCTGTAGTGG